AGAGAGAGAGAGAGAGAGAGAGAGAGAGAGAGAGAGAGAGAGAGAGAGAGAGAGAGAGTAGACGCCTAGACGGCCCCGTAAGAATCACAATTTCTTCTAGTAACACGTACAGCAGCCTACGATTGACCTCGGTGTTGCCTATACGGTTATATAGCCTACCTTCCAAGTGTCGAAGCGAGCTGCATCCTGAGCCTCGTTTTGATTCGTATCGCCCTGACTGAGGTATCGAAGGCTATGAGCAGAGAACCCCTCCAGGTACAATTTTACTGCAAGGAGAAAACACCGGCGGCCATTTTTAATTTCCGTGATTCATAATTTGTCGAGTAGGTTCACCAAACTCGATTGCCTAGATAATTATAATAAATAATAATAAATATATATATGTCTGAGAGCGAAAATCGAGTCGGACGATGGCGGTTTGCGATAACAAAAACGTTTGAGAAGAGGTGGCAGATTTAGATTTAGATTTAGATTTTGTTTTGAAATTTATTTACGCTTTCAAGTATATTACATTGTTACATATATCACAACAAGTTTTTTAAATAAATACAGCGAGGGAAAGCGAATTGACTATACAGTCTTCAAGTCAACCACTCCGCAAGAATTGCAGCACTGGTACGGGCAGCACTGGCAGAGTGATTTAGTGACAAGTACCTTTTTCGTCCTGGGTTAGACCGGCGAGCATCTGATAGAAAATGTGAAAGTTCTTTTCGTGCCGTTGTGGTTTCACGATTCGTGACTGAGGGAATAAAAAGACAGAGACGGAGCGAGAGTTAGTGAGTGCGAATGGTTGTAGCTATTCATTCTATACTGTCATATATAGGTAATTGCCAACAACCATACGTAACATGGCATTGTTTTATTGTTTTGTTATGGTATAATATTTATTTATATATAGTGGTAAACTACACTACAGAGCGTTTGTTCTTTATCGCGAGATAATAAAGGGCATGTAAATCGATAAAGGTGGAATCATTCAAACGATAAGTGCATAGAAACGCATCTTATAAGGACACAAGACTGTCTGCTCTAATAAAGAAGTCTATTTTTGTGCATAATTCTTAAGAAATTTCTTATCTATCTGTAATCTGTAATTATAGCAAATATATTTCACGACTTTGATTAGGAAAAAACTTACCTGGTCAATAAAATAGCAGTGTATTTTCGTTCGGTAGAGGGCGCCATCTGTGACATGTACCTCTATAAACTGGCCCTAAAAGCATGATCGCACAGTTACACAAGTGGTCAAATAAGTGAGATCGGAAAGTCCAGCTGTGCTATGTAGGTCAGAGAAAAAGAGGGTATAAAATGGCCGAAGCGCGCTTAGGAAAGTACTTGATTAATGTAAACACTCGTGCTTTTTTAGTTTTTTTCATTAACACAAACATTGCAAAATATCCCAAACGGCCACAATCATATTTGTAAATGTTTATGTAAACAGAAACGCACCTGTGAATTGAAGTACGATGTTAGTGAAGCGAATTATAGATCAAAAACCTAGAATAGTCCTATCATTATCCTACCCATGTTATAAAAGGGCTGTTTATACCCCCTCTTATCTGATCTCAATATGGCGGCGGGGACTTTCCGATATGGCTTATAAATCCACATCCCGCAACTTATAACTCATCAGAGTTTCCAAACAGGTAACATATTACAGTTCAGCTTATTATTAATTTTATTAGGTGTATGAGAATATTTAGATGTCACTGTTTCCTTACCATTCGACTAGATTCCGTATTGGAGACTGTTTTGGCGTTGCCTAGCGACCGCAGCACAGTAAAAGCAGCAGAGAGGTGCTTGAATGTGTCCGTTTCTGGTCCACCACCGGCGATATCAAATAGTTGCCTTAGCAACTGCATGGAAGCATATGTCTTTCCACTGCCACTGACTCCACTGGAAGACCACAGATATGTGTACTGTTATTATATGATATGTTGTCACGAACCAGGTTATATTTATAAATGATTTAGTTGATGTAATTTGTGAATGTGTGTGTGTGTGTGTGTGTGTGTGTGTGTGTGTGTGTGTGTGTGTGTGTGTGTGTGTCGTGT